GACTCCTTAGCCTTTATGAGGCCATAAAAGAAGGCTATTTATTTATTTTGCGGCCTAATCAAATAATTTTCTGGCTCCGGATCCATCCTATGTCGGGTTTTGGATCTGTATCTTCTCCAGTAACATCGAAGGTTTTGTTATTAAGATTTTGTTTTCAATCTTGTATGCATATTTCTTCTTCCAAACCACTGTCTTAATCTTACAACCAATGAAACATAATTTTATTTATAACTATTCCTTTTACTTTCCGAATGATAACCCAAACATATAAACATTAGTTTGGAGGATTCTGTGGTATAATTGTTTGGCGAAGTGTCTCATCCAATTTTGTAGTCCAAATTGAATCTATTGAGTGTCTCTATTTCACGCAAAGTAAGGAAAAAATTAATGTAAGGGACTAGAGTTGACCAAATTGGGCCTCAGTATTGTAATGGGCCAAGGCTTTTAATTAATAGAATGAGGTTGATCAAAAAAAGGGACTAGAGTTGTAAAAGTTTCAGTAACATGGTTTCTAAATTCTCACAGTTTAATTTTATGAAACTAAAGCTGATTATTTAGCTGATTGTGGGTATATAAAATACTATCATAGTAAACGTTATAAATTAATTATCCATATCAAATGTTCAACCGAAGATAAACATGTCACCAAAATATAAAATTTATGTTTTGAAAAAAAAAAAAAAGATTTCTGATCATTGTTACTTATCGTAATATGTTTATAAAAAAAAACTGACATGAAAACAGATATAATGTAAAACTTCTCTGTCTTGTGTTTTTTCCGAATACAAAAAGTCTATTGAGTGAGCTAAAGCCTAAAAAACTTTAATTGGCAAAAGAAAACAAAAAAAAAGCCATTAGGTGGTTATATACTTAATTCGGCTTCTTCTCACGGGAATGCGTACATGTTCCATCTCTTATGGTAATTACCATTTTTAGTAAGAGATCAATGGAACACTTCTTTTCTTTTCATGAATAGTGGTGGATAACAATCCAATTTATCACCGAAAGCTATTTATTTCTATTAAAATAGACGAGATAATAGGTGAAAATACTTAATAAGTTATAACTACTCTCCACATCCATCCAAATTAGGATGATTTTCTATGAAAGGTTATAAAATTTAGCTTGGACTTCACAATAGCTTAGTAGAAAGTATTAAAAAATAGTGAAGTACGTTCACCAACATCTACAACAAGAGTATTAAACTACCCTTCCTCAATCTATTACACATTAGTATTGAATTACCCTGCCCCAATCTACCAGACATCTCCAAAATATTTGTAGATACATGTTAATTTTCCACAAAAATCTGAAAAGCTTAATACGATTCATCACTATTAATACTTTGCTTCTAAAATATC